GCGGCTTGGATCTAAGCACAACACATCAAGAATGTCCACTAGTCTTTGTCAAGAGGAACTACTCAGGACAACGTGTTCATACTTTTTAAATGTTCATTCTTTTTTTGGAGGCTCAGAGGGCTTGAACTTCAGGGCAAAGAAGACTTCCTATGGAAGACATCTTGAATGACCTCTGGGCAAGCCCGAAGCCTTTATACCATTTATACCGCACCTTCAGGAGCTGGAAAACACACTGCCTCCGGGTCTGCCCGGCATAGATTTCCTCGCTCATGTTCAATGACCATTTATATAGATCCATTTAGAAGATTCTTCCTCAAAATTCCTAGCACGCATTGAAGCTCCCCTCCCCTGCCTGCCAGATAAACCTTGGGTCCACACGCCAAAGCAACGGAAGGTCCGGTATGGTCCTCCATTTGGGAGGCCCTTTCATCTCGTTTGAACGATTTTCTGCGGCTTGGATCTAAGCACAACACATCAAGCATGTCCACTAGGCTTTGTCAAGAGGAACTACTCAGGACAACATGTGTTCATACTTTTTAAATGTTCATTCCAGACAGTCGTCCAAGCTCCAATCTCCAAAGTGGGCACTCACCTGAAGCTGGTACCTCCCAGCCGCTTTTTTTCAGCGGTTCCTTTCCTCCGCTCCGCCGCTCCATCCCTCCCGCGCCCGCCCGACCGAGGAGTGCCGGCGGCATGCCCAACAACCTCCGCGACCTCCGCTACCGACCACCGAAGGTGGGCGCCCACGAGCCCACCGAGGCCAGCCGATGGTGTCGACGTGGTTCCACCGGTCGTGTTGATGGAGGGTGATTGGAGAGGAGTGGAGGGTGATTGGTCCGTTTTCCATGTGCCGTTCTGCAACATGCGGTTCGAAAAAGCGGAAGAGAAAGGCATCCAAGCAGCCTGGTGGCATTTGGCATGCAATATTCTTGGCACCTCGGGCATGCCCATCCTGCCACATGACATGACTTCTGACATCGTCACACTGCTTTCTTTTTCCTTTCAGGACCTGTGGTCACATGTCCTGTCACGTTCCGAGATTGCCTCCCTATGTAGGCGTAAGTGAAAAGGGCATCCCCTACTGTAGGCATCAAACTGGTGATCAAAGACATCCCTTTTTGCTCACGACAGCTTCCCTCGCGCAAAAGTGACCAGTTCGAACTCCAAATTCTTCCTGGGTGCTAGACTGATCGAGCTGGACAGCTCGAGGCGGATTTTTCTTTCCATCCTCCGAAGTTTGAGTTGCTATGTTTCCTGACCACACAGCTTCCGAGTAACTCGACACATCACATCCCCAGTGGCTTTTGGCCCATATACCTTCCGTCTCTCTCTCTCTATTAGGTTGGAGGCCATCGCTCTTACTGTAGGTTGCAGGCGATTGCTATTAGGCTCCCTCACTCTCGCTCTCACTCTCACTGTGGCTCTCTCTTTCTGCTTGGCCCCTCGATCTCGCGCCAGGTCGGCGCCGGAGGCGCGAAACATGGCCCCGCGGTGTGGCGTGAGCAAGCCTTGGAGGGAATCAAAACCAGTGACTTAGGGAATGGTCCAAGTGGCCCTCGGCAGATGCCTCAAGGTCATGGGCACGGGACAATGGGCAGATTTATGCAGGAGGTTGCCAGGGCGCGATGCCTTCAACACTGCAGATTGAAAGGGGGCTGAAAGCTCGTTCGTCGCTTTCGCTCCATTGTCCTACCTCGCCTGCGGTCGAAGGTGCAAAGCGACTGTTGAACGAAGATACGTAGAAATTGAGCCTTGCGTCAGTACCCTGGTGTTGAAGGCATCTGTTTTCCCGTTTCAGCCTGCCTCGTGTTAGGGACGCGTGCGCACGACGCGGGGGGGTGAGGTAGGGGTGAGTGTGCACACGACGCTCTAGGACTCGAGTCACATCCAAACCGGGAGACCGGGAGACCTCTGGGACTGCGTTCGGGGGGTCTTTCTGGGGTGGCAGTCCGGACTGGCCCGGACTGGCAGTCAGAGGAGTGTGGACTGAGTTGTATTTTCATTGTTTCTGTTCATATGTGTGGGTCACGGCACCGGACTACCCGAGTGTTTCAACCCAGTGACATGAACGGAAGAGACGACCTGACATGGTCAACCTACCGTGAGGTTGGGGCTCCGGGTTTTGGACCAGTTCCGCGCACGGTGTCTGTCCATTCGCCCCCTACTACCCCCCCAAAAAAAGACACACTAAAGAACATCCATTTGCAGATGTGTTGCCGAGGGTTGTTCATTCATTCATTGGAAGATTTTACTGTAGAGCTTTCCCCTAGTACGGTTTGTACCAAGATGGTGTTCCAGGTTCTTAAGCACCATTTTTCCACTCCAGCTGAGCTGAACACTTTGAACGGGTCACCTGAGGTGACATCATCTCCACCTTGCCTGGTGATGAGTGGCATGGCCGCACGAGTCGTTTCGGCGGAGAACTCGGAGGGTCCACGGTGATGCGGAGAACTCGGCCGTTTCTGGGTACCAACGGTGTTTCTTATAGGGATTGGACGACTCTGACTACACAAACAACATGACAAATCATGACCAACATGACAGGAGTCTAGCAGTTTCGAAGTGGTATTTGATGGGAGAGTCACAACAATTGCTTTCCTCAAAGTGATGCTTGTAGATACTTGCGACAGAACACATGACTCATCACCTCACAATCAGACATCTGGGGACAGCCCTCCCAAGGTTTCTCATCCCCTTTCAGACATCGGTGCCCAGTCATTCGCTTTCAATTTTCCACTGACCTGTCCACAAGCATCTGCAATCATCTGCAATCTATGACATGGACGCATGACCTATGGACGTATGGACGTATGGACCCATGACCCTCCTGGACCCAATGCATGACCGAGCGCTCCGCTCCTCGCGCTCCGCATCTCGCCCCGAGCCCCGAGCCCCGAGGCGCCGGTGAGGCTCGTGGCGAAGATCCGCAGCGTGCTGTCGTACCTCCGTGACTTGGCGCAGCCCAAGACCCCCAAGGCGCTCCTGGCGAACTCCATGATCGACACCATCTCTGCGCCACCTTTGGCGCAGGCCGGGAGGATGTTCTGTATGTGTGGGCTGGTGGTCTGGTGCACCCATTGGGTGACGTTGGGCTTGGAAACGAAAGGGGAGGATGTGATTATGATCAGTGGAGGGCATGGGACGATGAATATTGAGGTTGAGTCCAAACTGCAGAGTGTTGTTTTGACTCATGTCCCATCAGACCCTCGAAACTGCAGGGGAGTGGACCCTCGAGCGTCCCTTTTGTCCACCCGCGGACACTGCGACGTTCCATCCAAGTGGGACGAGGAATTTGGCGTGGCTTGGCATTGCAGAAGGCATTCCCCTGGGACGCCTAGGACGAGCACCATTACCTTTTTTCCCCAAACAGTTGACTGTTGGGGTTCTATCTTAGAAAGAAAAGAGCTGGCCATGCTCACTGGCCGCGCCTTTGATCTCTGTGGCTGGGCTCTGTGGCTGGGCCTTGTCCTCCTCTTGTCCTCCTCTTGGCCGCGCCCCTGAAC